CTTCGTCCTCCTGTCGAAGAACGAGATTTAACGAGATAAGTTGTCATCGCGATATCTCACTACCTTTCTTTTCTTTTCTCCCCTCCTCTCTTTCCTCCTATTCTTTTCTTTCGATATTGTTTTTTTTAGCTACTAAGAAAAATCCCAGGGACGATACGGTTTCGTCGTCTCGAACGAGGCGAATCTTCGCCAGGCGGTGTGCTGAAATGGTCACTGAGGGTGCGATAAGGGGGTTCATTCTCTTATCACCCGACGATACTTACAATAATTCCAAATGAAGGATGATTTAGAAATGAATAGAGTATGCGTAGAAAAGCGTAAGACGCAGCGAGAATGAGAAAGAAAGAGAGAGAGAGTGTATGTATAGATTCTTATTCGAACGTTAGTCGATCGAGATGAAACGCGAGGGTAATTAAATAGCGGGGTGACTTAACTCGGAACATCAATTCCACGCTATATCGCAAAAGAGGGTAATGTATAAAGGACACTCCTCGGGATGTCCCCGGCCGCGTTTGTGGAAATATTGACGTCGCTCGTCATAATGAATGGAATTTATGCGCGGCACCGAGACGACCCTCTCCATTCTTCCACCCTCCCGGATAAAACCGTCACATTCAGCGTAATGTCACATACCTGCCGCCTAATTTAATTGCGGGAGACAAGCGTGGAAGGCCTCGAATCCGCGATCTCGCTCTTTTATGGTCATTACCATCTCTCTCGAGAAAACGAAAGAACGACTGTACGATTATGTTCGATTTCTGTACAATTATCGCTTTCACGCTCATGGTAAAAAAAAAAACGATAGTTCTTCCGTTAATCCTGCAAATATCGTCAAATTCGAAGGATCAATCTCGAAATGCAACGCTTCGCAAGCCATTGTGTATTATTATTATCCCACCTTGACGCTACGAATGGTCTCACTTACTACCGTTTTCTCCGTGCTGGAGCTTGAACGAGCATTGATTTGCGAATAATTTAATATCCGATCGTCAACGTGACGCCGTCGTTGACGGGAAAAAACGCACGCTGAAGGAAACGGAGAGAGCGGATGATAAGAGCAATTGCCGCGGTGTCGCGGAGTTTCGCTACCACGGATGCGGGGATAACTGAAACGCGCGTGTTTCTACGTTTTTCACGCGCATCCAGTCTCCGTTGCTGCAAAATATATAATCTCGCACAAGAAGAAGGAGGAGGAGAAAGAGAAGGGGTGGAAGAAGACAGATGCGGTGGGGGGTGGGNTCGTCCACCGTAAGCGCCCTCCCCGCTGTCCAAATAGAAAATGGATTAAGAGCATCGAGGTACAGTTTCGAAGCGGAGTCGTAGATATTATCGGTAATAGCGCAATTATGATAATGGCAGGTAATTCTGCACAAAATTCAGACAGAGCGAAAGAGAGGGGAGGAGGACGTAGGTAGGTAGGCGAGAGAGAACGGGCGGCTGAGAGGAGCGCGAGGGAGGTTTGCGAAGGGAGAAAGAGAGAGAGAGAGAGAGAGAAAGAGAGAGGAGGGAGCAAGGATGAGAAAATGAGCGGGAGGGAGATAACCGGGCGAACTGAGACTGCTAATGAAGGAAACAGTTAGATTCAAACGGCCTCCAATAATTATCCTGCCAGCCATCCATATTATAGTCCCGACAATGCACGAAATTGTTCACACTTCCCTTGACAGTACATCTAACGCTCTGTAGTTCCTGAACGCCGAATGGAAAGGGGTGGGCGACTGACAAGGGAGGCACCGATGCATTCGAATTCTTACGTCACGCGGTTGCCACCCCGCATTGAACGTTCCGATGCATTTCTTCCGCTTTTCCTTTTTTTCCCTTCGTTCCTCTACCGAGCGAAGTCCCCAGTGTCCGAAGAACACACGTACAGAATTCTGGATGACAACAACGTCGCGTTCGCGACAATCGTCCGGATACGCGTCTAGCGAATTTCCCTCGCGAGGTAGAATTCCTTTCTTTCAAGCAGGGTGTAATCAATGGTATGCGTGTGCGTATGTATGTGTGTATGTGTGGAGTTTTCGATCGCGTCCCCACTGTTTTGATCGTGTTGACATTTGGCATCTCGACCGGACACTGAGAAGTGAGAATTTGCAGATTCACCGCCGCCAACAAGCTTCGTGCTTCTCGGTAATGCCCGTAATAACTCGATTACACCGGACGACGGCGTCGCGAAAGAAAAGAAGCGGAGCAAGCCGGCGCGCGACAGCGGAATCAATCGGGTCGTCGGATGGATTCGCGCTCTCAGCGCCGGTCAGCGCGAAAATTAAAAGGCACGGAAGTGACAGCCGCTGTATTAGCGCACCGACGCGCGGCACCTCGTGACGTGGACCTCTTTGGAAATATATAGTCGCGACGGATGAATACACGTCGAACGATCGTGCGGACCGGCGAATTCATGTCAAATCGGCGGGGTCGGAGGGAGGGGGGAAGGGGGCTCGAACCTCGAAGCCAGAAACCCCCGGCCTCGCGGCGTTGATGTGTTGATATTAGTAGAGCTAATTTGATAGTTTAATCAATTTCCGTAAGCCGACGGGAGTTTAATAGTGATGTCATCATTTTCAACGGGGCACAATGAGGTTAATCTCGCTCGACGAGCTAATATTCGGAGAGTTAACAGAGTTTCAAATGCAGGCAGGGCCGTCATTCGCCCCGGTATCCGTTCGCGAGCGACAGAGACAGAGAGAGAGAGAGAGAGAAAACGATACACACGTACACACATCGAGGTATCGCGGGGCAATGAAAAAAGGATAAACCCAGTCGCGCCGGAAGAGACTTCAATTGCGATGATACATCGCGATACGATCCGCCCGCGTGACGATTCGCCGCGTTAAATGATCGTTGCCCGCGGATCAGTGAGAATAATAAAAAAGTCCCGACTGGTCCGTTTGTCCGTTCGTTCGTCGGCGCGTCCGCAATTATTTCGGAATAATGCAAAATTTTTGATCGTCTCTCTTCCTCGCTCCCTCTCTCTCTTTCTTTTTACGAGATGATTTAATACATAAATCGCCGCATCGCCCGGGGAAAAAAAAAGAGCGAAAGGCGGGAATTACTTCAGTGCGACGCAGCGCGATAACGCATCATAAAACAATTCGGTCGCGCCCCGACAATTTCTCCCCTTTTCGAAATTTTCATCTCGAATTTATCTCGCATGTTTAAATCTTTAATAAATGGTTCACTCGCTCGCTCGCTCGCTAGCGCGCCGCATTACATGATTTACTCTATTCGATGTATAACGTTTACGCACGAAGAGCGATTGCGAATACCCGCCCACTCCGGCAAACCGTCAAAGTATACACTTGTTAATTACACGCGTGTATCAAGCTCCAAGTTTACCGGGGAGNGGGGGAGGAATCGGTCAGCGAAGCGGAATTTCTCGTCATGGCATTGTATCCGTACGATCGCGACACGAACGAGCAACCGAGACGATAAATTTAACACGATCGATAAGCACAAAGGAGCGACTCGCACTTTAATTAAGAGAGAAAGAGAGCGCGGCATTTTTCTGACTTCTCGTCAGATCAAACGAAAGTACGTGCTCTGTCGTACGTGCGATATGCGTGCGTACGTGTGTGCGCGTGTTCGCGCGCGCGCGCGCGCGAAAGTGACTGCCGGGAGATGGACGGATTACGGAAGGGGGTGGAATTAAAGATTCGCGGATGTGTTTCGCAGTTTTCGTTCGAGCGGCCCTGCATACGAATCCCTGAGCGGGCATATTAGGTGGAAGTACGCAGTTAGAGGCAATAACCGCTGTCAATAGAACCCGGCCTCTCTCTCTCTCTCTCTCGCTCCTCTACTCCTCCACCACCTCCTCTTCCTCCTTCTCTTTCTACTCCTCCTCCTCCTCTCCTGAAGTGGCACCCACTCGAAAATGCTACTCGCTAAATTAGGTAGGTTATATGGGTTTCGTTTCATTTGCGAGCAAACTTTAATAAACGCTAAAATTGCGTAAAAGAGCGAGGTTTTCAGACGGACGAATCAGGGTCGGGCTGATCTCTCGTCGACGGAGACGAAGGCGCGCACACACACATACGCATATACTGTATACGAAACGGCTGAAAACCACCGCGCGGAATATTTGTCCGCGATTATTACATTTTCTTGGATGATGAATACAAATATAGCAGGCGGTCTTGGAATATTACAAGAGAACACGCGCAGGACGAAGATGGACGAAGTGGGCCGAGATGTTCCGATGTTTCTTTTTTTCGCGAAGGAAACAGACAGACCCCGTATAGCACTTCCAAGGGACGTCCCAAACAACACAATGTCCAAAATCGGAACATAAGACATCTATACGTAGCGAGATATATATAACTTACAGTTTACGAAGACCTTCTTCTTCTTCCTTGTCACTGAGCCACTGAAGAATAAACGTTCGTTCCACCCGTAGTTGAATCGTGTTATTTGAATATAACAGTCCTTTGGATTCGCTTCTGAAATTTTGTTACCGAAGAGGTTTTTTTATCTGCCGTCAATTCATATTAATGGAAAGCAGAAAAATATCTTAACCTGTAATTAGGTTGTTCTAACACGACCTCGATTTCACATATAAAAACGGTGACGACTCGTAGCGGACATTTTGGAACTACGCTTTGGAACAATAATCCACCCGGCAACGGACTACTTGGCGTCATCTGTCGCCGTCGCCGAGAAACCAGTTGCGTTTAAAGGGTTCGAGACTCAACTAAAGTTGCGTTCGGAAAACACAATTGTTGAATAATTCGTCAATATTGATCGCGTCAGCGAACACAACGGTTACACAACAATTGAGTAATTCGTCAAACTTAATTGATTTGAATTCAAAGATGTAACAATAAAGACCGAAAATTTATAATAAATGAAAATACGGATTTGTGTTGCACTTCAGTACACTCGCGGTATTTAGACATATTTGAAGTGCAGCACAAGTCTGCATTTTCATTAATATTATAAATATAATTTTGTGGGCAGCATATATATGTAGTTTTTTTCTTAAATATGTTTTATTTGTAACTCAAATTATTAACAAAAAAGTTGGTCGTACTTGAAAAAATAAAAAAAACACTTTCACTATCATATTTAAAATACAACTAAAATCTAAACTCAACCATTCATCCTCTCCAAAATCTGATGTTCCAGCTCCTCAAACTCTTTTCTTTTGTTTTCCAGCATTAGTTTAGCCGCTGATAAGTTAGGCGGTAAATCACGATACGGATCAAAAAATTGCTTAACATCAGCCAGATTACCCAACAATTCCAAATATAATTTGTATTTTTCCTTTATTTTTTCAGGATAAAGTTCCTCGACCTCCATATCACTTAAATCAGACTCTAATTTCTCCTCAGTCTCCTGATACTCCTTCAACTTGGCAGATAAGAACATCATATCGCAGTATAAATCGTCCTTACAAGCAGTAGTTGTATTTTCAAGGGAATGAATTGAGTCCTCCAGATGGTCCAATTTCTTCAGCAATCTCGCATAACTTCTGTGTAATTTATTGTACTTCTGCAACAAATTCCTCTCTTCTCGTTGTCGTGCTTTCTCTTCTGCAATCCTACGTTCTCTAGCTACACAAATGGCTGTTTCATCGAACTCAGAAATCTTCTCAGCCCTCATGATGGAAGCCACTTTATCTAGACCTTCCTTTACATCACTGGGTAGTGTTTTAACTTCGAGATTCAATTTGGACAATATATTTGTGATCTCTTTGGTCAGTGCGATATTTTCTTGATTCGTCTCCAGAATACCTCTCAGTAAGTATCGCATTTCCACGGCATCCGCGTTATGATTTGAGGCTTCGGAAACAGAGTCGCTATGCGACAATCCCTGTTGCTAATAAATATATAATTATAAATTAACACATTATCATACGAAATCATTATTCTTAATCCATAATTCTTACCTCGCTATTGTTATCCATTGTATCAAATTGAAATGAAAATAATAATATTCGACCGACTGTTTATCGTCATTCCCGTTACACCGTTGACGGTTCTTTCTGTTTCTCAATTATGGGTTGGGACAACCTTAAAGCTCGTTTCCATCACCATCATCTAGTTAAGGGTTCCTCGTTTTAAATGGCTGCATCCCGAGTTGCGTTCAAAAATCCACACTATGTGCACACTACTGAACACCAGCTGTTCTTAAATACCCAGGCTGTATTTGGAAACATCACTCTTTAGTGACTTCAGTAACCGAAAGCACGATCGACGGATGTACCGATTGGCGGTCAGATAGGGAATTTCTAGTGTATCTAGAGAAAAATTTAGGGATCCTTGAAATTCTCTACCCAACAGCCAATCAGCACACCCAATGCTCTTCATTCGAAGTATGTAATACAGCCTTACTTTTGCACAAAAGTGACAAGTTTAGCCTAAAGGGGTGTCTACAATGAAAATTTAAGCTCAGCCTTAAGAAATTGATCAATCACAGTCGATGATTCTTCTCATATTTGACTGTGATTGGTCAATTCCTTAAGGCTTAGAGCTTAAATTATTTTTAAATATAATGTTTTGAGTATAATTTATTTGTAAGCTAAATGTCGACTATAATGTTTACAATAATTCTCAAACATTTTTACACTCTCTTCTTCTACAATTTTCTCCATTGGTTCAAGCCACGCTAAGTTAGACGGTAAATCGTGATCCGGGATAAACCACTTCTTAGCATTAGCCAAGTCATCCAAAATTGTACGATACAGGCGGCGTTTCTCTATTTGAGAGTTACAAAAATCGACAATCTTCTTATGACTTAAATCAGATTCCGATTGCTTTGTAATATCTTGATATTCACTGAACATTGCAGATAATGTTACCATGTAATAATATTTTTCATCATTATATGTGCTTACGACAACGTGGTCGTGAAGGAAATCAATTGGGCCCTGTGTATAACCTAATTTCTTCTGCAATCTATACAAATTTGTATATAAGTTCTTCTTGTGCGTCCGTGATACACAAGAAGAACTCTCTTGTGATAGAAGCCACTCTTGTGATAATTGTCTTCTTTCCGTTCCAGTCAAACCTCTTGTAGCTATATGTCGCGTGGTTATTTCGTCGAGTTCGAGATATCGCTCAGCTTCCGTAACAGGAACCATCTTATTTAAAACTTCCTTTATATCATCAGGTAATTCCATGATTGAGAAATTCAAATTATACAATACAATTTTCATTTCTACAGTGAGCATGTTTTTCTTATATATTTCCAAGAATTTGTTCATGAAGAATCGAATTATTGATAGTCCTATGGTAGTTGCGATGTGAGAATTTGAGATTAGAGGGTCCGAGCGCGGAGATGATCCCTGTTGCTAATAAATACACAATAATTATTAATTTATATACTAGTTCTCGAAATAGTTATTTTGGTAAAACTTCCGTTTGAGGGGAGGGAAAAACCCAAAAATGGACGAAAATCAAGATTAACTTGGAATTTTATATGCAGGAGCATATTTTCCGTTCCTTTAAATAGCTGTAAAACTGCATGAATAGGGTCCTATTTTACATATCTTTTACGGCTATTTATTGACTGTCAAGGGAGGAAAAAAGAGTGTTTCCGTCCATTTTCACAAGTATTGTTTTATCCAAATATCTTTTTATTTGCAAATGGCACGCAATATTTCTCAACGTGTCATTTCTCACCTATGACGTCACGAATTTAAATTAGCCGCGGCTATAATTATTCCAGAACCTTAAATTTGCTTCTCGTGTCATCATGGCGTATCCGTATCATTCATACACATCATCGTAAGTTTCTTTCTTTGTTATACGAGTTTAAGCGATAAAGATCAGACACAACCTAAAACCAGAATATGAGATGTATTTAAGAAGTCTTATGTTCCAATTTTAGGTTTTGTGCTAGTTTTTTGTACAAACTTCTTGTTTCTTATTTCGCTATCATTATTCATTAAATAAAATTATGATAAAAATTTATGATAAAAAATTATGACAAATAAAACAATTTGACTGATTGTCCTATATCATTTATTAATGGTCTAATTTTTACCGAGCCACCACGTGCACAGGCGAATATACAGAATGTTGATGATAATACAGAGCCCTAACTTTCTACTACTCCCTAACTACAGCCACCACGTGCACAGGCGAATATACAAAATGTTGATGATAATACAGAGTCCTAACTTTCCTGTTGAAAAACGGGTGACATACGCCATCTGTTGTGCAAATAACAGCGGCGGCATACATTTATATTTGTTACTACTTAAAAAAAGGAACACGACGTCGGTGGTTAACGAAATTGTACGTAATTAAAAATGGTCCCAATTTATTGGCTGACTTGAAGTTTCAGTTTCGATTAGTGAGTTATACGAAAAATTTCATCAGAATGTATCTAATGAATTTCGAATTATTACTAAATTTGACTGGAAAAGAAATATTATAAAAAAATACTACTGCGCAATCATACAATGCAGCTGATCGAGACGTGTTGAGATACTCCGTTTGTTATCGTTATATCTTTTCTCTAATGTAAAGGCGGAATACCGAAGATCCGGATATGCGTTATTTTCGAACTATCGTCATTTTTATATTGTAACTTGAAATTGCTTTGTTTCGAATTTGTTGTCAAAATTAAAAAAGGAATGGTTAGTATATAAGTTTTACAATTAAAGTCAAATAAAGGGGCTGTTTTAACATTACTTCGGATATACCACGTGGAGATACAGTCCATAGTACCTCTCTCAATTTACGGGACTCCCTGTATATATTATTTCTATAATATAAATGAAAGATAAAATCATTAAAAGTGTCTTCCCTAAACAGTAGTTTTACCGTTAAATTTATTAGCTATCAATAATTCTTACCTCGCTATTATCCATTGAATCAAATTATGATGCAAATAAAACGATTCAGCCGATTGCTCTAAGGTTACTTTGCTCTAAGTTAACTTATTAATGGTTTAGTTGCTACTGAGGTACCACGTGCTACCAGACGAATAAAAACGTGGTTGTGGGCAGTCAAATGGGCAGTAGGTCTGCAATGGGTAGGAGTAGGTTTATATTTATAAGAAGTAAATGTAAAAAATTAACCAATCACAGTCGATTATCCTCTTTACGTTCGAATATGATTGGCCAATTTCTTATTCTTACTTCTGATGAACATCTAGTGCCCACTGCAGACTATACTAAAGACCCTAGAATAAGAATCTGACCATAAGAGCGCATTTTGATTGAGTAGGCCATTTTTGTCAACTGCTGCTCATATTTGAACTATAATAAACTTACTATTTTGTTACAAATATTGTATTTAAGTAACACAAATAAGAAGTAAACGTTGCGAAAAAATGAAATCTAACATGTGTTTGTTTAATGTAACAGTGTTTAACAATATATACTAGAAATATGAAAAATTCTTTGTGGTTAATATTTGTTTAAGCATAAACAATGTAAGAAAGACATGCAACCTTTACAGAAAAGTATTACTGGCTGTAATATAACGGGGTCAACAATGAGAATTAAGCTTTAAGCCTTAAAACACTTTGTACGTCGGAGCTGAGAGAGAGAAAGAGAGAGAAGAAAGAGAGAGAGAGACTATATCGTAACAGAAAAACGCGCGCGCTGGCGTGTTTGTTTGTTACAGAATAACCTCTTCGTGCAAAATTTTCATCTTCTACAAGCTAATTAAAAAATTTCTATTGAATATCGGCAGTGTATTGTGACATATAAAAATGGAGATATTAAACGACACCAAAGACAACTTCGATCAATCTATTCGGTTGTTGGGTTCGCAAAGCCTTCAGAAATCTTTTCTGAGGTTTAACAATGATATCACTATCAGGGAAATGATGGAAGACAGCACAGCAACTGGAATGATTTTGAAGGCGAATGAACCGTGGCGAGAAGCCAAAATCAAGCTCTATTATGATTTTTTACAAAGTATGCAGGCACACTTCTCTGAAGCGCAGGTCTTCGATACCATTGCGGATTTTATACAGAATTGTACTGATACATTAGATATAATAAGAGGTATTGTCTCATATATTATCTTGTTTTTGTCATATTATTATAATAAGCAATGTATGTGTTAATGGTGATATGTAAATATATCAAAGTTCATTGAAACATCACATCTCATCTTTCGTAGGTATGCAGTCTAAAATTGAGAATACCGAAATAACAGAGGAGGAAACATCATTAGAAAGTGAGAGAAACACCTGGAGATTGATATATTGTCTCTACCAGAATCGTATAACCAGTGCTGGTCTGTCTGCTCGAATGGAACATTGCGAACATGTAAACAGTAATTATATTTCCGAGAAAGACGTTGTAGAACATTTCTACCAATCCGAGAGCTACATCAGAGAATATCAGTTGATTATTGACTGGTTGGAGAAAAATGCCTTGGATCAAGCAGATAGATATCCTTCCATAGAACTTTTCACCGATAAGACAATAGCTTGGGAAAATACGGTTCATCTGTTGCACAATCCAAATTTAAGAATCACGTTTGAGTCATCCAGACCAGTGGTATCATCCCTTGATCCTGACGCGCCTATACGGGAAGGTAAACCGTTGCATGATCTGGACAGAGAGGATGACGCCAGACTTGAGAAGAGAATGTTCATAGAAGTATGTTTGTTGTGACTTTTGTTAAAAAAAAAAACCCAACGAAATTTAATATTAAAATCACATGATATTTTGGACAAAATTTGTGTCACAGGTGCGCTGTGGACGTCTTCAAAAAGCACAAGCATTAGCTATGCACTGTGGCCAACCTTGGAGAGCTGCGTGTTTGTTAGGGTGGATTCCTAATCACGATCCCAATTATAACGTTCCAGTGACGGACATAAAATTACCTATTGAGGGGAATCCTAATAGGAGTATTTGGAAATTGTGTGCCTGGGATATGTCTCAGGATAAGCGTGTAGGTAAAGACATTTTTGACGAATATCGAGCCTCCCTGGAAATATTATGCTGAAAATTTTGCTTGAATATAAGGAAAGTTGAAGTTATACTATTAAAATTCACTGAGTTTAACTTAAAATTGTGCGTAAATTGGCTGAATGATAGTGAAATAGAATCAACTGAGAGAGAGAGAGAGAAAGAATTTCAGCGAAATATTTCCATCAGGGTTATCATTTCGAAAGTCCGCAGAGAAAATCCCAAAATGTATTATCAATATCTTTCCTTCCCTTATGACATACATTACAGGTAACTTATAAATATCATGCTTGTTTGTATGAACGTAACACATGAAGCATATCTAGGTATATTTTTTTATTAAACAGGTGTATTCTATCGTGCCATATACGCGAGCCTGTGCGGCAATGTTCAACTACTGCTGCAGATAGCTTCATCTTGGCAAGACGCGTTATGGGCGTATGTGAAGACTCTCCTGGACATCAAAGTCGAGTCGGAAATGAGAGCAACGATGGCGAGAATTTACACGAGCATGCCGGAGGAATACTGGAAGAACGAGATCGCGTTGGAAGATGTATTTAAGGAATTGCACGCATCGAAGAATCCCGTGATACGCGCGCAATCTAACAAACCCGATCATCTGATTCAAAAATACCTAATACTGGATCAAACATCCAAGTTGATGGAAGAGATCGAAAGTATGATAGATATCGGCCTCTGCGACTCGCAGTTTCTCCGATTTCTGGCGCACCTGATATTGTTCTTCCGACAGATCGGAAGAAGTACGAAGGACAAAATCGAGAACAAAGTATTATTGGCGTACGTGCGTGTTCTCATCGAGATGGGCGATCCGACTCTAATTGCATTTTACACAGCGACATTGCCGCAAGAGGATCAGATAACCAACTACGCCTCTTACTTGGAGCGCGTCAAGGAGCACGAAGAGCGCAAGAAATGTCTACGCGCGGCGGAGGACGCGAACTTGAATGTGGAAGCGATCACGAAATTAGTAGTGGAGAACTTACGTAAAAAAAACTTGGAATCTGACCCGACGGACCTGAAGGGAACCGTCACTGACATCGACATGGAAAAGATCAACGCGCTGGACTGGCTGATCTTCTACCAAAATCAACGGGAGGAAGCTCTGTGGCAGACGAACGCGCTCATCAGGTACTTCCTGACCAAAGAGAAGATCGACGCGGCACGGAAAGCGTTTAACAAGGTGCTGACCGGAACGATCAATCATTACAGCTATCGCAATAATATTATAATTCGCTTCTTCTTATATAACTCTTACATAACTCGACAGACGAATGGCTCTTTTCGTTTTAACCCTTTGCAGTCCATACCGCCACAGTGGCGGCATTCGCAAGTCGTAGAAGTCCGTAGAAGCCAGCCTGGCGGCATGATGTCATTCATGATCGCCTGGCGGGCGGCACGGCGAACAAGGCTAGCGGAAAAGTAACTGCGAAACGCTAAATTTACTCGGACCTGCTGGTACTCCCATCGAAATCTGCGGACCGCAAAGGGTTAATACGCAGTTGAATGACAAATACAATATATTTGTTTATACTTCATAGATCCCGTCAGATTCAATCGAATCAGTCGTAGCGGAATATCCGAGCATGGAGTGCACACTCATGAATGCCACAATGACGAATAATTTGTCGAGAAAAGCGGCCTCCTCCATAAGAGAGTACCTCTGTTACAAAACGTACCTCGACGCGCAGGAGGGCTTCGGGGAGTGGTTTTCGCATTACCATCATGGCAAACCCATGCCCTTGGAGGAATTACCGGTATATGCCACGTTCACGGAGAAGGTCGCGTACGACCACAGAAAGACACAGTATAACATGGAGCTGGAAAGATGGAAGTGTACGATGCAACATCACACGAAGGTACGCGAGAAGTATACCACATTCTCGCCGTCAACGTGACTTCTCGTAATGTCTCCTACTTCTCAAATTTCGGGACTTTGATCACATCGTTATTTAAATCGACGATTTCAATCAAATTGATCAGAGTTCGGTGGAAGTTAGCCACAGAGTTACTAGTGAGACGTAAGCAAGGGTGTAAAACCGCCTTCTGTTTCAGGCTGTGAAACAATTGTTATTTAACGTCCTGTTATTCCCCGACGGCGGCTGGCTCGTGGACTCGAAGGGCAGCAACGACGAGCCGTGCACGTCCGAGGACGAGCTCAGGGACCATCAGTTGGAGAAGCTGCGCGAACTTTGTATTCCTAAGATTACGCTTTTGCTACATTCCGTTATGTCCGAGATGAATGAACACGCCAATTGCATTCAGCTGGCCGACATACTCGCGTCCGAGCAACATCAACTGTATAAAGTACGTAAGCCTTATTTAAATAAGAACATTTGTCTTCTCATATGTGTATGTTGCGTGTAACGAATTGTGTGTACTAACTCAATGATTACCTTCGTACCTTCGTAGATGTTTTCCAAGGGCAGATTACGCGAAGTGTTCAAGAAGATCTGCGAGTCTTCCCTCGTCTTGATGGACCAAAAGAAAGATCCCTGGGGATATCCGAAGTGAAATACGAATTTCTAATCTATGTTATGTAAATTCATGCGCCTACGACTGACACGAGCGTCGTTCGTATCATCAGACGTTCTCTGCCGCTTCCGCTCGTCATAACAAATGTATACAGGTGGTTTTTTTTTATTACCTCTCCTTGTCTTTTTTCTTTCTTTTTTTTTATAAAACCAGTTTATTGTCAACCACAAGAAGTGAATATAAAATTTGATACAATGTTCAATAATTCACATAATCATAATATATAATATACTTCGTGATTATTTAGATGCTCCTTTTACCCAATCGTTAATAAATGTAGCGCTATCGAAGCCATTAAGATTAACGTGTGGGGGATGTGTGTGACGAAACCCATAGCCGATAAAAACGAGCAGAACATCCTGAGATACATTTCGCAGCGACACTTAGAAACTTCGAATGACAGTTGTGACAGACACACCAACATCGTCTTCTAATCTCGTATTCTCGCCGGGTCGTGAGACCGATATCATCGAGTTTATATATCGGGATTCGTGCACAACGACGAGAGAATCGACGAGCACCGAATGATATTATCACGAAACGAAAAGCGATGCCACGATTCTCGTGTCTGAATTTAAACGAATATCGTATATCAATACGCTAGAAGAGAGTCGTAGTGTGATATGGTTCTCATTGTACGCTCTCTAATGTCTCTAATGTCAAAGTGGATAATGTTTCCCGTCGACGAGAGCAGTCTTCTTTCTTTTTTCGCAAATTCTCCTCTCCCCCTGAATTCAATAATAGCGTGACCTCTTTCTCCTCTTTTTTTTTTTTTCTTTCCGTTCTCCCCTTCCCTTTTCCTCCTTTTTCCTTTGAAACTCCGACATGTGCGTCTCTTTTTTTTTTAATTAACGCTACGAGTTTCAACTTATTAGAGACACTTACACATATGCTACGCATAGACTATATAAGAAAATTAACATATTCGACCAAGAGAGAGAGTACGGACCTCTCGAAACAATCGGAATTTTTTGCGACGCTCGCATGCTCTCTACGACTAGTCGTCGTCGTCGTTTTTTCTTACCTTACGAGATATGTCGAATCGCGATTTAAATGGTAAAGATTGACTTCTCATTGAGTGTTTTACGCGCGATTGCTCGCTACGACACGGTATCGCTGATATCTTAATATCCCCTTAAAACGAACTTACATCTCGACGACGAACAAAGGAATACGCGTAGTTTAGAATAAACCTCTTTCGTCTCCGTATTCCTTAGCACTGCGCGGAATCGCTGTTCCTGCGCGAGCGTCCTCCTCCACGCTCGATCACGCCGATTACGCGACGTTGAATTTCAACTCTCGAATTTAAATTCGTATACAGTTTGAGACGCGCGTCGAGGAACGGCCGAGATGGCTCGCTCCTCGTGGGATAAATTCGTTCGCGTTCACTCGAAGTTAGGAAGATACGAGTGCCGTGTCCCTTGATTAAAATAGAGTCTGCGATAACGATTAGACGATTAGTGAAGTTAATTGTTAGTTAAGCTAGCCTAACACGTAAACGTTGAAGAGAAACAAAGGGGTTGACAATTCGTACATTTCTTCGGAATACAATTCGACACGCGCGCGGTCGGCGTAAAGAGAGAGACGATCGAATTTTGCCCTTCGTTCACGCTAATCCGCTTACACTCTCTACGAGAGACACCCTACTCGCTAGCACCGTATGCGTATTTTCTTTTTCTCTCTTTCTCCTTGTGTGCGGAACAATGTGCTTTAGAGAAAGAGAGCGCTTCGAGACGATCGTTCTCCGCTTTTTCTCAGATTTTTCTCCCGATGGTACAATTATCGAGTCTCTCGCGAGAGACTCTTGTTTCCTCGGTAAGATCAACAGACGTGGCAACATCCATTAGCGTTGTCAAACTTCGAATGTCGTACAGACGGAGGAAAAAGTAACCCTATAAGCGTGTAATATTTTTAGAATATTATAGGAATGTTCTATTCATGTTATATGTCCACTTCACATAATATTCTTGGCATATTATAAAAATGTTCTTAGAATATTAAAAAAATATAATAATAACAGAAAAAAATGTAAATAAAATATACCTATATATTATATATATACATATATATGTGTATAATTTTTTTTAGTATAAAACATTTTTACACAAAATTCTTTCGTCTTTTATTTATATAATGAAACAATTAGTATTGCAATACATTTGAAATAAAAAAACTACAATTATATATATATATATATATATATATATATACATATATATACATACATATATATATATACATACATAGAGTTGAATATTTAAAAAATATATAATATTACAATAACATTAAATATTATTAGGAGTGGACATATAGTCATATATTAATATTCTAGACATATTACTTGATATTAAATTATATTACGCGCTTAAGGGCTGTTAACGCTAATGTCGTTGCAACCATATCCGAGATCCACGCTCTTGCGCTCACCGTGAAAGAAATGTCTCGTGGAACGCGAAAATTGCCAAGATATCGCGGAAACGCAATGCTATAACTCGACTTCGTCGTTCCGTGTACACATTGCGTCATAAATATGTCTCATCATTCCCTCGATCGAGAGTTGCATGACTTTAGCCTTACATGTGTGCATATAGTCATAACCATTTTTATAATTAGAGTCCCATCATAACCCAACCGTGATAATTAAAGTTACTTATGCGATTTTCAACCTTATACGTATATGTGTAAGGATGTCGTTTCGTTGGCACAGATTTTTCGCCTAACCAATCAGAGACGTTATATGTTGTTCTGTTACACGGAACAAAATTTCCTTATGTCCCATGGAACGCAAAAAATAGAAATACGGTGTACCACGATAATCAGTCATATTTTAAATCTTTTTACTTTTTTTAGAATGTCCCGGCAAAAATATCAAACGTCGCAATTCATTGGTGCGAATTTTTAATACGCTTCATGAGACAAAAGGAAATAAATTTTGCATAATATAGCACACACATGTGTACTTCTATATTGTATACAGTTTCCGTAAAGATGAATTTCGATTAGTTATTATTATATATTTTTACTTTCCACAAGAAAGTTTGATTCAAGAAACGCGTTATGTATAAAAATCTATATCATGGAATGACCTAAGGCTAAAAATCATGAATTCTCGTTCTGGGAAATGACAAGACATACGCAGCGCATAACGTAGTGTATACACACGTGTATGTATTAATAACGCCTCGTTCTTTGCTTAAAAAATAGGAACCTCTAAAATAATCGACTCATACTTTCACAAGAGCTATCCGAATTCCCCTTATCGCAAAGATCGTTCGTGCTCGAGCGCGATTTTCGTGTTATTGTCTGAATTATTGTATCTGCGCGTGTACGAAGCGGCTGATTGTTCGAATCTCGAAATGTCTCGAATGACGTATGTTACAAAAAGAGAAAAAAAGAAACGAAAACGCAAGTGGACAATGGAAAATCCTGCAACGCTCCGTTTCGCGTATGTAAATGCGATACGACGGTCCGTTTCAACTTGGTTGATGCGTCGACGTAATTATAACACTCACGATAAAACGACGCATAAAATTTGTTCCTTTCAGCTGCGTTGGCATTGCACTGGAACGGAGGTAGAACAGACGAGTACAGCGAACATTTTTACGAGTGAATTTTTATGAAAAATGTTTATGAGAGTACAGAAGAAAGTAAAGAAACGCCAATAATGCAGCAATCAACGAGATAACGTGGTATGTCCTAGTTTTAGGTTGTTTCGCTGTCTGTAGTAGTACATACTTCTTAAACTACTTGAATTTATAGGCCAATTCAGCTGAAAAGAACAAATTTCTACAGGGAAACCATTCGGAGTTGCAAGAGCTTCCCGATTAGTCGTGCGTATATCGATGCAGCGTTGCACAGTCGGTTCGATGTCGTTACAAGGTAACAATTATGACATACTTTCGGTTTCGATCGAGGGAGCCGGATTGTTCATGGAAAATGTCTTCCATACGTAAGTAGAGACTTCGAAAAAATGTATGACAATCTACGGAGTTGTACAGTTAGAACTAAACGCGTGCTAAAGACGTCCATTACTAAAATCCTTGTAAAACCTATCGTTAGTACGTGTGTGTACGTGTGTGTGTACATGTGTATGTGCGCACCATATGTATGCGTGTGCCCGTACGCGTGATTACGTGGTTATTTTCTTCTCTCGCCGTACACCACGTCTACCACGTTCGTGGAAAAACACGTGTACACTCTCAGTTACACGCAATCGTAAGACGAACAGAAGTTCCATTCTATCCCGCCGCCCGCATTTTTCGATTTATCGCTCCACGCGCGCCCTCTCTTACGTATAATATATATATATATATATATATATATATATATATATAATCGTATATGGATGGAAGCTTACAAGTAGATTTCGTTTTATTTTTAGTTAGTTATACGTTAATTTAAAGTTAAGATCTAAAGTTGTAAACGTTACGCGCTAAAAGTATATCGCTAACAATTCGAAATCACGTTTGAAACTGTACAACATTGACGACGGTAAACCGATCTCGACGAAGGTAAACCTCTCGCGGTGCCGGACGACAACATGCCGCGTTGATGATACGTTGATATTCAGTTTCACCGGAGACACAATACGTCTCGTCGATCCTACCTCTTCTCTCTCTCTCTCTCTCTCTCTCTCTCTCTTTCTTCTTTTCTTTACGTATTAATGTACATATAGCCGAAAAATTTTCCTTACATTCCTAAGCTATTTATTTGCTCCTTACGAACTAACAACTTGGGACGACATCGAGCTGCTCCTGGAAAAAATGTGAAAACACGCGCCAATTAGCTGAGAAGAAACCGTGCGTAAGTTCAACCGTGAGTAAATGTGAAACTCTCTGATCGGCTTTCATCGTCGAAACGGAAATTATTAATAATTAGTTAATGAAACTGTACACACGCGAGAGTCTCTTCTTACGCTCCGTGTAATTTTGCCAAGTCGACTCCGGACAAACAACAATCGAAAGAGAGACGTGTGTATGTGTGCGCACAAATGCATACGCACAAGAGACAGAGAAGATTCCATTATGTTTCATTCTGTTTGTGAGACTGATTTGAGCTAATTCCGTTGCTTATCAAACGTTACAACCTACAGCTTCGCAAATCGCTTCGAAATCATAATGAAATTTTTTACTCGCATCACACTACGAATGATATATTTATCTACGTTATTGTCTATATATATATTTATGTATGTATTTATATATATATATATATTTTTTTTTTTACTGTACATACATCATGTGAATGGAACATTTCACCTATGCAACTTACGAGTTAATGCTTTATTGCGGAATTATACATGGTTTATCTGCTTCGTACATTTATACGAATCCGATCGATTCGTCACATCACACGTTAATGCGTCACGTGAAGATCGGTGAACTCTGATTACGACGATTTTTTTGAGAAGAAAAAAAGAAAAGTTAGATAACATTAACCGGCCTTTTCTCGGAGCAGCCCGCTTCTATTGTACGTCCTGCAAGTTGATTATTTATTATTGTCGTTCACGGTATTTCATTCACTTACAAACTAGAATCTGTTACTTTCGAACGATCCTCTTAGAAAAAACAAACGAATGAAAAATATAACGATAGACCTACAATCTTGGGCGAAAATCTCGTTTATTGATCGGGATTACCCTCGAATATTGTCATATCGAAATTTAGCGACATAAACATTGATTAAATGTTTCTCATTGTCATTTTACTTACACACAGCAATTAGTACGAGTCTCTACGTTAACGTTTCTTAACGTGTCAACTCTCTCTCTTTCTTTCTCTCTCTCTCTCTCTCTCTCTCTCTTTCTCTCTCTCTCTCTCTCTCTCTCTCTCTCTCTCTCTCTGCCCTTCGTAAAACTAGATAAATAAGTTTGTTTTATCTTTCATAAATTTCCGTTTTTTTTTTCTTGTATATTTATGATATTTGTATATATGTGTATGTTTCATGTGTATATGTACGTGTGTGTATATGTGTATGTTTCATGTAATTAAATACAGACTGGTCTTCGTGCGATAAGCGGTTAAATAGCAAAAAATTTTCTGCTGCGAATTTTGTGGACACCCTGGCACTTGGGAGCTGGACACACATTTCACGACTTAACATTAGAGAAACGTTACGCTAAGCCCTCTCTACCCTAAGTTGATTATGTATTCCGCTGATTTCTCTTGGTTGCACGTCTTATGCACGTCTTACCTCCCTTGCACGTTTTATATACGTAACGATGTATCTATGAGTATTAACCACAGGCTGCTTTTCGGTAACTTCTTTCTCAATAATTTTACACAATCTTTCTTCTCTTTTTATTTGACGATATTATTATAACAATAACCGTACTCGACACAAAAGCCTTTGCACGTGACATTTGTAGTCATAACCGTAAATTCGTAAAGAAAATTTACCAATTAAAGTTGATTATTCTTCTTACCGTCGTAAAATAATCGATCGGTTAATTCTCTTACAGACTTACGGTGTTAAGAATTTGTTACAAACAAGGGTCTTAAACAACACGATTAGAACTTGGTATCGGATATTTGGCGAAGATGGCGGATGAATATCGGTATCGTGCGATTTCCTACAAGACAGCCTGTAACTTTTACTCATGTGATACGCGCTCGACGCACAAGAGACCAGTTCCAAAGTACTACGCGGTGTCCCTTGTCCGAGAGTGGGTCCTAATCCTTGTATAATTAAAGACATTTATTATCTGTACCCAAGGCACATTTTAGACTTTCATTTCGTTTTAGGAAGGTCCACTCTATAGTATATACATATAGCATCGTTAAACGTACAGGGGATAGTTTGTAACTCCCTTAAGTATTACTTATTCTTTCTTTCTTGTACATAACTCTCGTTTCCTTAGCGATTCTCTCTCTCTCTCTCTCTCTCTCTCTCGTTGACTATTCTACGTATTATTGTCATGTCGACAGCATTTATAAATGTATATCTTACGTACTATCATGTTGATTTAAAGTTACATTAAGATCAACTATAGCTTTGTGCAAAATTTACATTGTACATGTATCGCTGATGCACTTCCGTTTCGCATTAAATTTACGCGTATAGTTGCATATCGATCAGCGTATCTCTGAATATATATTATCCTTTCCCCTGATAAATGAATGAATGCTCCATCGTTATTGTCAGAATTTCTTTGATTACCCAGCCCTCTAATCAGTTATTGTCTGATATTTCTCATATTATTGTCAGATGTTTCAGTTTCGTTTTATAATTGTTAAAGAATATTGAGAAATTTCTCACGTCCCTGCATACATGTTCATACGTGTAAATGTGTATCCGTGTCTGTGTATATGTATATAATATATATGTATATATATATATTATATAATATATATATCATATAATATGAAATCTTGAATCTGATAGGTCTTAAAAATATTTTGCTAATTTTTCATCCTTACGAATAAAAGCTTACGTGCTAAATACTTTCTTACAACCTTGTATCGTGTTTCGCCGATTTAACAATCGCATCATGAATTGTCACAATTTTCGTGACCATATCTTAAATCGATCAGTACCCCGTCGTCATCATCGTTTTCCTTCTTCTCCTGCTCCTCCTTCTCCTCCTCCATCGTTTGTTCCGCGTTGAAAGAAAAAGATCCGACGATTCACCTCGAGAATAAAAAGACCGCGAGCATGGATGTCACGAGGATCGCGAACGTAGGCAAAACTTGACTGACGCCGTTGACGTTTCTCTGCGACCGGTATCCCGCGTCAACGACGCGGATCTTCCAGCCCAGATGGTTGTGCGTGTAACACTGAAGGGACAAGAGAAGCAAGGTTACAAAATAGGAAAAAAAATGCGTCCGGTTCGCTCGTCGTAACGTTAATTTCAACCAATTTTTGTTCTCCCCATAATCGGATGTGTACCTGGTAGTATACTAAGTCCGGTGTATCCTCCTCGACGGTCCACACGAGCTTGGCAGGCTCCCCCTTGTCGCACTTGAGCTCGAGCGTGCGGAAGAAGCTGTTGAACGTCTCGTAGTTGTCCGCGCTGTCTACCGTGGTGCGCACCCACTCGCAGTAACGGCCGGCCGCGGTCGGATAGGGATATCCGTTGAAATCGTATTTCACACCGGCGAATACCTTCTGCTCCATCTGTTCCTCCTCGTTCTTCTGTCCGTAACCACCCGTCGGACTGTTGGTTATGTAGAACGGATGATACCTTGAATATCGACACACGCGTGACACACACGTTTCAAACATCGTTCTCGAACTATGAGAACTTCCACAGCGTCGTGGTAAATGACAGGGATACGATCGAGATGCGATAACGATCTAATCTCGTTCGTGTATACGTACACGTGCGTTTTGAGGGACGTCGTTGCGAATGAGAATACGACTTACCTAGCAGGATTGACGGAGTCGTTTCCGCCCTCCACGATGAAAGTATAAGTCTGGCCCCTCTCCACGGTGAGCTCCGGGATCAGTAAGTCGTTGATATACCAGGCGATGCCCCAGGAGGGTGTACCTACGTGTAGTAATGAAAATCTCTTAGATAACCGGAAACTTCAAGACGCCCTACGTGATATTTTGTGAACGAAGAAAGCCCTCCGCGAACAATTCCAAAATTATTATCGCGAACTTTGCATCGATATCATGTCCAGCGTTATCGCTCAAATTATATTTGAGTGACGTGTGTGTGATCAGTTATCATAAAAATAACATTGGTCAACGCGAAAACTGTATCCTGGATCGAAACTGTCAATTTTACCCGTTATTCGCGAGTATCCTCTTTTCCCGCCGGTCGGCCCGATTCTGACACTGAAAGTGTCCTTATCGTTGATAACGGCCGGTGTCCACGGTTTGAGATCGGGCGAGTCTGGAATATTGTACAGAGAATTTGTACACTCGTGGACGTTCCTCGACGTAAAATCGATACGAATGTCTTCGGTGGTCTTATCGAATCTCTCGTGAGCATTGGCTTCGCCCTTCGCGTTCAGCGGTCCGATGGCAGCGATCACGCTCGTCTCCATTTCCGGGATTATTTTGTCCTTCTCCGGCTCGTTAGTCCTCAACGGACGCGTGTACGTAACTGTAATCGAAAGAAAGTGACGCGACAATCATTGGTTATTCCTCACTTCGATCTCTTTGACATACATCATAAGCTCTAATTGCTATTCGCTGGATATATGGACAATTAATACTCTTAACGGAATCTTTCTGCGGTCCGAACAAATTTTTCGCTGTCTAAACGAATTTTTTTTGCTATCACTATATTGACCAACATTTGTTGTTCCAGCAAAATTTGTTTTCTCCGTGTGTCTAGAGAATGGGACAGCATTAATGAAAGTCTTCCGTACGACACGTACGACAATCGTGACGATCAATGGTTCTCTGTTTCTTCAACTTCCCACTATGATTTCAAACATTTTGCACAAGGATGTAACGAGAGAGAGAAAGAGAGAGAGAAAGAGAGAGAGAGAGAGAAGACATGTACCAGTTGTTATGCCGTTCTTCCGTTCGCCATGCAGGAGTACCGCGTCGTTCTTACCGCCGATCCTCTTATCCGGGCACACACCCCTCTTGCCGTCGCACTGAGCGAAGTCCGACATGTAGTAGTCCTCGGCGATGAACTTGCCGGTTCTATTGTCGTAACCGATCACGACGACATCGCCGCCGATCATCTGTGCCGTGCCGTCCCGACCCGACAACCCGAAAGCCACGTATTGGTCCTCCCTGATACGTCCCGAAATCCGAATCTGCACGTTCTCACCCTTCAACTGCCACTGCACCTGAACACGACCCTCCAACATCTCCTTGCAGTTACTCACTGCTTTAGGTGTGGGTGTGCTGCTCGTCTAAGGAGGAGAAGAGAGAGAGAGAAAGAGAGATAGAGAAATGGTAACGCGGGCAATGTAACTTCGCCGGATCGTTGTCGTGTCGATCGTCGATCGCGTTACTTACCGGATTGTACCACCATGGCGGCTATTCCGCGTGAAAATCGAAAACAGTGTTATTATAAAGAAAAATCAGACCGAGATTAGTCGGTTAGATTCTACCCAGTAAGCAAGAAACGTTAAATCAATCTTTCAAAACATTGATTTTACGTAAATTTCATAGACATTTTGACTTAATATTTTATAAATGTTTTTGAACTGTTGCTTAATAATATATTATATTTTTAAATATTAAGATTACGGCGTAGAAACATTATTTTTAATGTTTCGGTCAAATGTTGTCAACAGTAGCATTGTATATAACATTAAGAATTACATATCTGAAAACGTTACATGTTATAAAATACCATTGTAATAACATTGTGTTAACGATTTATTGCTTACTGAGTAGTGAAGAACGTGATAATCAGATTTTATCTGATATATGTGCGTCTGTGTGCGTGTGTACGTGCGTGCGTGCGTGTGCGTGTGTCACGCGTGCAGTAACAGTTTTGTCGTATCACCGGAAACAACGTAAAGAGCGAACCGAGGAATTTTCAACGGGCAAAAAATTGTTGCGGCTTCCGCAGCGGAAAAGATCGCGCGATAATTAAAAAGGCGGTTGCTGCGAAAGAAAATAAAACGGAAAAAGCAGCCCCGGGGACAAGACGATTTTGTCGGACGCGGATCGTCGTCCTATTGAAGCTAAATATTAGCGCGGCTAGAATTACGCCGTCTTTTATCGTGAAAAGACGCGAATGTCCCTCTTCTTCACAGTGCATTCAATACCGTCGCCATTGAGCTGGTGCTTTTCATCGTGTATATCAAAGAGCGGAGTTGTGTATATTATCATCTCATAGTGCACGTTAATGAGGGTATGTAAGGTACGAAAGTTTTAGGAAGGGGGGTTACAGAAGGGGCGGGAGGGAGGGAGGGGAAGGAGGTCGTATCGGGCGCGGTGGATTGAGAACTCATTTTGGTTTACCGTAATTTTCGTCTGGCCGAGAGCCGGAGGTACGTCGAGGTCCTTTGGAATTAGAACGTGGCCGAAATTGTGCCTGTATTCGACGCACCACACCGCAAGCCAGTTGATGTCGTACACCGTCAGGTTCCCCGGCAAAACGATCTCGATGTCCTCTCCTTGGTATCCTCTTAATGGTGCCAAACTGCCGGCGAACGAGATCGATAATCATCCCCATCGTGGATCGAGCGGATAATAAGTAAGCACGCTGAATTTATGTACGCGGCCAATTTAATTGTAGAAGAATTAGATTTGTGTGATGAGATCGGTTTATCGAAATCATGTGAATTCTTGTGTGAATAAGACAAGTAAAAGTGGATGAAGTAAACTTAAAATGTCAGAGAATATAAATCAAATATGAATCATATAATATTTAACCCTATCTCAATAATTTATTACTGGCCAATTAATCATCACAGGCAGTAATACTTTTCTGCAAGGATAGTGGTTGAAAAAAGCACCAACTCCACGAGTCACAAAACTCACCTGCCTATCTCGTTGGGGACCTTGATACCGAAGTGGCTGGGCTCCGAGCCATTGCCCACCCAGAAGTAAGCGTCCGGGCCGCCACCGTCGTAATGCAAGTTCGGGATGTAGATGGTTTTGCTGTCTAGAATACTGATGTTGCCGCTACGGAGATCATGCGCTAATCTCGAGAACTCGGGGAGCACTTGCAATTTCGGCACTTTCAGATCGTGCGGTATGTAAACATCGCCGAAATCGACCTGAAACACACGAAAGCGACACGGTTACTTCTGTCGCGCGCACAAAACCGTCGACTTCGCAAGATCGCGACCCGTTCTCGCGATTATTCCGCACGGGAAAAAGGAATTTGCCGTCCGTATAATACAACTGAGATTCAGTTGCCAGGCTTAGTTTTTAGCTGCGGAAGCTAAAAACTACATTAAATTAACTACTAAATACTACTTACTGAATTAACTATTTATTAAATTAACTAAATTGTATTATATGGGCAGCTAATTTCTACCCGTGAGAGTTTTTAGCCGTTTAGGAAGTGATTTTTTTCCGTACGGTGTTCTGTATAACATTAAGAAGCGGCAAATCGCGAATCACGCCTCGACGATAATGACCGCAGGAACGACTTTTGCGGCGGGGGGAACGCGATATCGCGGTATCGATCGCAATCGCGAGACATTATATACCTTTTTACGATCTTTATAATTGGACCTACTTTGCCAACGCCGCTCCAGCAAAACCCGCTAATTTATCCTTCTGAGGACATGCATTTACACCCACGCGGTGTCGACGAAAGAGTCGATCTATCATCCCCTACCCGGCGCTCGAGCTGACGTACCGATGAGGGGTTTCGGCTCGTTTATATTCTAAGTTCCGTCAAACGTCTTAACGTGAGAGAAGGGAGTTGAGAAAAGTAGAAAAGAGAAAGAAAAAGGAAGGGCAGGAGGGGGCGAGAGAAAGAAGCAAGTTATCGGTCGAAGGTTCGTAAAATCCGAGAAACGGATTCCACCCTCCGTATAACGGAGCTCCATCCGTCCTCCGTTTCTCCGGGGAGCGTTTTATGGGAGAAAATTCAACGTTCGCAACGATTTCTCAACTCATTCTGAAACCCCCCGAACAAATCTATTCGTGAATGGCGAAATAGCGAGCTTATATTATACCGAACTTCCTCGGACGGATTTTCTCTGCTCTCTCTTGTCTCGCAGAAGCGAGTAATAATCGAGTTTCGCTACACCACACTCATAGAGAATATTCTTCCGTAGAATTTCTTCCACAGTTTTTCGATGTTGAATCTATCTACTTTAAATAGATTTTATTTCTTGCGACAAAATTATTAAATTTTATAATAAGGAGTCCATTATATATCGATCAATATATTTATGGGAAATTATCCCCTTTGAGAATGTAGTTATACACGTTATTCAAGAGAGAGAAAAAAAAATATATAAATATATTGTAAAGATGACATTTTAAATGATTCAAAAAGTTTTTATAATAACAGTTTTAAATGAAGATAGATACGAAGATTATATTTCTGGTGTGTTAAGTAATTTTATAATCATCGATTTTATATTGATTTTTCACTGTTCTTGGAACGATTGTAAAACAAGGAGGAAAATATTCGCCTATTGTAAAATAGTTACAGTAACAAAATAATCGGATTTCACATCAACCACTTTCGTCAACTTTTTCTCTACACCTGCGAAGAATTAATAAGCGAACACAAGCCTATCTGATTTGCACAAACGTGTCGAATTAATCTCTGATTGATACAGATTTAAGAATCCTCATCGCCGGCGACGTGTAAAGTCGACAGTATTGTGTATACCTGATGAATAATTCCGCGAGTTGAATTATACCAACACAGTCGAGCTTCTTTCTTTATTATTATGTCGGCGCGAAGTTGCTCATCGAATTTGCGAAACGTTCATGAGCGAGGTTTTGTTCTCGCGCGGATTTTAATCTCACACCATGCCACTTCGGCGGGCAGAAGCAACAATTTATTAACGTCGCTGCTTGTTAATGGCCCTGCATCAAGTGCCGACGAAGAACAATCCACAATTGAACGGCGAGAGTGGAGAGTCCCCGCAGAAGCGAGTTACGAACACCGCGATTCGCCGAGCGCCGAGTTTCCATCCGCGTCTGACACAAATCTCGCCGCTTAAATTGTTATCATAGAATTCCATTCAAGATAGTTGATCCATCAAACCACTTTCTTAGAAATCCTTTCAAAATTTGAGTTGCGTTATTGATGGAAATATCGGGTTGGCCGAGAGAAGATCGTATAAGTTTCGACAGATGCCTCTATAAAAATACAGGATTTTCCCCTAAGAGGTTTCGTTTTAAATTATTAAAAAAATAAAAATTTTTTTTTTGAAAAAGTGATATTTTTATTACGATGCAAAGTACAGATATATAAATAGAGCATTAATAAGAAAAATAAAAAATAAATAATATCTCCGTGTTTGCAATATTGTGCGTATATTTGTCTTCATTTTGCTCTCAAAATTAACACTTACTATCTGGATAAATCTTAAATAAAATTATAGGAAAATATTATTTTCAGTAAATAAACCTTTGTAGGGGCTCCTTGATGTCGCCGTCGAAAATCTGGCGGCTTACGGAACAACTACTTTATACCGTCATCAATGTGACACACATTGTCACGCCGGTCGTGTATTCCTCGTGTCGTAAAAGCACGCTCTCGCACACGTATCGAAAACTCGACAACTTCGCGCTATCAGCTGCATCGTAATGAAATTACGAGGTACCGCGTGTGCTCTCGCGCAATTAAAACGGAGATATCATAATTGCCGGCTAAGATCCTCGTCGCCCGCAATTCTACATTCCAATTACCGGCCGGTAATTGAATAATTAAAATTGAGACGTGCATTTAATTGGACTGTTGAGGGAGGAACTGAACAAACGTATAGTATTTTCGAGAAATTAAATCGGGAAGACCTACGTGCCAGTGCGCGTGCCAGAGCAGCCCTCTGCGTCCTCCTCCTTTCTCCCCCTCCTGCCCCCGGCTAGGAAATAGTACCCTAACTAAGATTATGCCCTTTGAGATCGCGATTCGCGACGCGATTTTCCCCATGGAAAACAGCCCGCTCGTTCTGGAAAATATGCTCTGGGAGTTACCGGAGTTACACATTTCGCAGAGAATTCTGTGCTTGTGCGGTACATACACACACACATACACACACAAATCAACGACGACGACGGCGAGCGACGCGGAAGTTCCATCGGTTTTCCGAAGTTCCTTTGTGCGATGCCGTGCGTCGCCAATTTCATTTCTAACAAGCACAACCGGCAAAGTGGCTGGAAAATTTGACGTTCATGCGTATACATATATATATATATATACACACCACGCGGTAATTTACATTTCCATTTGCCCGGGTATATTCACGTCATATCCTTTGAAGTCGCCGGCATCTCGACCCCGTAATTAATTCCAAAGTCAATCGCCCTTCTTAACAGGTTTATCAAATATGTCGCTCGTGCGCGCTCGTGATTGTGATTGAATAAATACAGATGTGATTGAATAAATACAGGGCTCATTGTGGTGAACGAAATTCCGAGCTACGTCGCGTCGCAACGACTGTTGAACTCGAGAGAAACGAAAGTGGCAGAGACGCAAATTCCGACTGAAATATCAGCGATGGTCGAAGTTAACGGCGCGGCTCGGCGCGAATCGGCGAAGTTGATCGGTCGATTCCGAGGTTACGAGGAGATCGTATCGAATTTTTACGCGGTCTATCGCGGCTGAGAGAAGAGACAATACGAGGTGAAGTGATATCAGTTTCCCAGCTGCTCGCAGATCGTTGCAAGATGAGGGGCGCGCGGCCGCGCGCGCCGAATTTCATCATTAATAATAATTATTATCGACGAGTCGGGACGGACTCCCCCGAGACTCCGGAATTTGCATGCGCATTAATCCCATTTCGTTTAAGGGCTCGTCAATCATACCGCCCTCCGCTAACTGATGGCGGTGTGTACGATGAGCCCGGAAATGTTCTGTACGAATGAGCCGCGAGACCGTGACTTAATAGCATTTTAAAATTGGCCTCCGGACCGCACTCTAATAAGTATAATCGAAGAGAGAAGGAGAAAGACAGATAGCAATTATCCAGTATTAATTCAGAATCATTTTAGAAAATCAGGAATTATATGTAGACCACAAAGTGAAAATATTCCCGAGTCAAAATTTTCGCCCTATGAGAATTAAACCTTTAATTTTACAACATAATAGGAGCGAAGCTAGTAAAATAGGTTCAATTTCATTTCTAATAATATAATATAACCCCTACTTTGACCCCGATGATGCCTTAAATTTCCGTTTTCACTGTATCAGTGTTAAAATAGGTAGATGAAGATAGCGTTAAAATTCAATCTGTAGAATTAAAGGTTCAAAAGAGAAATTAAAGAATATCAATATCGTCAAAGTAAGTTTTTCTTAGTCTACAGGCTGTCTAAGTAGGCGCAAACTGTCCTTAAGAGCGTCAGAATAGCATCCAAATTTCGACTCGACTTCTTTATATAAAAAAGCATTCAAATGCGGCAAAAAGTTTTGCGTCCAAAACGGTTCACGGAAATATTATTTTATGTCACTTTAATATGGGGAATACATTAAATCCTCAGTGTCTCTTCTACTTTGACGTTTCGTGCGATAAGTGCACGAAATTGTCTCGTGTGTCGTTTGAGTTACAACGCGGTTCCGCCCGCATTGGTTCATTAAGTACACGTGTATTTAGTAATAATCGCAAACACTGCAAGTTCCCGGTGAAATTTACGTCGGCGGCTTTAGGTCGATGCCGGAAGCTGCAGTATAACCGCTCCTTATGATGAGGAGAACGGGACGAGAAATTACTCTCTCCAGTTCGGTGACACCAACCTCCCACATTGGACGTGTGCATACACCGGTAGATTCAATGACACCTACGTAACCGTCGTTAATTACCGATAGCTTCCGGTTACTGTAAACGATGATTCGCTTTTCCATCCTACGAAACGAACGCCCACATACCTACGTGTTGATTCGCCGCTTGCTCACGTCATAGCTCTCGCTATAAATAGAAAATGTAATTTATTCGAAAACATAAAACCGTTCCGTTCGCGATATCGACGGATATCGCGAACGACAGTGCGTCGAGAATATTCAGTTCTCTGATTCGGTCCCCGATGGCGAGGCACGAATATATATATAGGAAAAATGTACTTCCACTTCCGCGTTAATTCTGTCTCG